AGAAAATTTTGGTTCAAATTTCTTATCTTTACTTATTTGCAGAAGACCAGGTAATCTGTTCATAGAAGTTATCCAACGTAATGAAGATACATCCCTGTGAGAACTGAATTAGCACTTTTTGTATATTTCAAGAATATTGTGAGATTCAGTGCAGTAATCACCAGTCACTTGTAGTTATGGAGCTCTTGAAATATGATTGTGAATTATGATATGTATATATCACATATACTCTGAATATTGAATAGTGCCAAAGAGAAAAATGTGTTGACAATTCATAATTTTATATTGATTTCATACTGACAATATTGTAGATACATAGGATATATTAAGTATAATGTACATTAATTTATATCACTATTGGAAAATTTTTCATTACAAATACTTCCATTGTGCAGCACTGCCCTAAATGAATATTTTTTCAACTATTCCCCACTAGCTGGAAGTCACCTTGAGAAGGGGGTATCTAAACACAGTATCTAATGAAAATATGTAAAATTTTCATTGAGTAAAAGTAACTGTAACCAAAGCTTTTTAAAGAATTGTCTGTTTTGAGGTCATGTGGGTATACAATGCTGTATATGATTCAGAGGCTCATACATCTTCAGGTGTATATGCACCCACCAGCAAGGCACCTACAACCCTCGGCAGAGTCCACGAGGCCCCCTCTACACTTTACTACTGGCCCCCACACTCTTTATTCCCCACACTCCTCCTCTCTGTAGCTTCAATTCTGCAGCCAGATTTTTAGGGGTTTTTGTTTGTTTTGTTTCTCTATATTGCACAGGTGACTGCAAGCAACCAGTATTTGTCTCTGTCGAACTTATTTATAATCATCCCTGCAGTTCCCTCCATGTTGTCATGAATGGCAAGATTTCCTCTTTTATATTTTTAGAGCTGAACAGTACTCAATTGAGTATCTATACCACATCTTAACGCTCATTTGTCCTTAGGCACTTAATTTGTTTCCAAAACTCAGCTGTGGCTTCAGTGACCACAGGGGTTCACATATTCCTTCTAATTGATGTTTTTATGTTAATTGAATAACTGCTTACTAGTGAGATTGCTGGATCTATCTATAATGTTTTGAGAAAACTCTTTACTATCCTGTATAGGGGTTGGATCAGTCTACATTCCCACCAACAGTGTAGGAAGGGTCCTTTTGTTCCACATCTTTGCCAACACTTGTTTCATGTCTTTTTGATACGCATCATTCTCAAAGGTATGAAGTGGTATCACATTGTGGTTTTGATTGGCTTTTGCCTGATAAATGATGATGAGTATTTTTATGTGCCTGTTGGCCATCTGTATGTTTCTTTGGAGAAGTCTTATGCCCAGTTTTTTAAATTTGATTATCTGTTTTGGGTTTTGTTTTGTTTTTTTTTTTTGAGTTATTAGTAGTTCTTGGATAGCAGCCACCTTGTCATATGTATGATGTGCAAATATCTTCTCCCATTCAGTAGGGTGACTCTTTATTTTAGTGATATTTTCTTTTGCTGTACACAACTTTTTAGTTGTGTCAATTGTAGTCCATTTGTATATTTTTGTTTTTATTTCCCTTGCTGTTGGAGGTGAGTCCCCAAAGACATCACAAATGCCAATGCCATGGAATGTTTTGCCAATATTTTCTTGTATATATTTTATTATTTTGAGTCTTATAGCCAGTCTTTAATAATTTTTAGTTAATAATTGTGTATGATGTGAGTTAGTGTTCTCATTTCATTATCTTGCATGTGGCTGCCTTGATATTTGGATGGAAAATTTTATCAACTATTTTTCTCAACTCTCAAGGTTAATTTCCATTTGAGGAATCATAAGGATTGGTCAAATATACTAGAATTGGCAAAGCCTAGAAGATGAAGATTCTTAGTAAGTCTATAAATTTGCTGAGATTAATATTAGACAAGACACTGTTCTTCTATCCAGATGGCTAATTTGCATGGCTCCATTTAACATTTGATTTTTCCAAACACATTTATTATAAAGACTGTTGTAAGAAATATATTATCTCAAATTTTGAGAGGAAAAAAAATGCTCTGTAAAAATCTGGCTGCCAAATTTGAGTCTTGCTATTCATGTATCTAAAACGGAGAAAAGCGGTTTAAAGGATTTGGGATTTTGAAAAGGCAGAGCTGCCTCTGTGGTCTCCAATGAATTAGTCTTCTCCTGCAATAACAAGCTATTAAAGTTCAAAACAGGGACATTTTAATGTCTCATTAGAAAAGCATAAAGTAAAAATTCAGTAGAGATATCAGTATTATTTTACACACTACTGTTTGTGATTAAACACTTTTCAAAGGTTTTGTAAGAAATACAAAAAATGAAAGGTGTGAAATTATATAAATGTCAGTACATTGATATGTTATAGAAATGACATCTGTGTATCTGTCTATGTAACTGTTATTTTCTTTAATTTTCCATTTAGCAGAGACTAATATAAATATTATAAATATTACCACAGTGTTTCCATTTGTGGCATTCCTGAAAATTATTTCTTCTTAAAAGTCATTTTAGCACATTTTTATAATCCCATTATATCCCATTTGTAATATAGAAATGAACTTTGTAAAATAGCTCGAAGTATTATATTTTAGGGTAAAGATGAGGACATATTAGAACTTGGTCATTTTTATACTCCTTCTCTAAAGTCTTCATTCTATACTGTGATGAATTTGTCCAGTCATTGCATAGCTATCACAGTTACTTTCTTCTAGGCAACTTAAGGGAGGAAAGGCAAGAACAGTATTTAACATCAGGAATGAGATTCAAAACAGAAGTATTTGAGGAGTTCAAGATCCCCAACTTCTAGTTTGCTATAATTCAGTCTGAAATCAAAGAGATTGAGATTAGAACTCTCTTTTCCAACTAAACATTGCTTAAAAGAATCTTCACCTTAGGATCCTCCCTGGTGGCGCAGCGGTTCGGGTCCCACATGGCGCCCAGACCTCTCCTGCCGCCCGCTGCTCCCCTCAGCAGTGTACCTCCTCAGTCTGCCTGCTCTGCTATCCACTCTGACTCTGGTGAATTCTCTCACCCTCCTGCGCTTCTGACTGTACCCAGTGCTTGTATGTATGTATGTATGTATGTATGTATGTATAAATAAAAAAATAAATAAATAAAGGCATAACTATATAACACGGTTTGTGGGGGTAAAGATAACACCTCATGGGGCAGGGAAAGAGATGCAGTGCCTCCCCCTTCCCCCACCTTAGCCTCACATTTATTGGGCATCAGTTTTAGGGAAGGTGGACAAGTACATGGAGGAATGTATGTGGTAGGGATATGGACTGGGGATGCAAAATGGTAGGGAATGTGTACTGGTGCTACATAATTGTCTGGCACAAGCTAGGGGGAGTAAATGAGGGCTGTTGCCTGAGCAGCTCCATTGTTGCTGCTGATCAAAACATCCTGTCTCTAGTCCCTGTTTACACTTAACTCCCTGTTGAGGTGGTCTAGCTGATTATGCTAGTCTAGTCATAATATCTGCCTGCTGTTTTCAGCAGATATCCTCATACCAAGATTTTTTTCCTGGTGAGAGGGCCCCCTGCCTGACTCTCCATTTTAGTTTGACTAGGAGAAACTTTGGGCACAAAGACTATATCTCAAGAACAAGGGGGGCTGGGGAATCCACAAGAGTACTTCTGTAAACTTTTAATCCAAATTGAGTATTGCAGAAAGCTACATGGTAACATCATGAAAAAGCATGAATATGTGGAAACTTAAATTGTTCATTACATGAGATTGGCATATTGTGTTTGCTGACTTTCTCTGAGCCTCAGTTCCCTAATTACTAAAATGATGATGGCTGTATCTAGTTCATAGAGTAGTTGTGAGGCCTGAGCCAATCTACTTAAGACAACATGCAAAGTGACTGATTTTTTTTTATCTGATAGCAATTCTAAGTGTTGAATAATTAACCTCAGGAATAAAGAGGCTCCCTTTTCTATTGGTTCAAAATAAACCCAAGATCTTCAAACATAATTAAAGCTAAAAACACAGTGAGTGGCCTTTGAACTTCTCTAATAACTATTAATCTAAGTAGAGTTTATTGTCCATTTTTTGGGGTGAAAATTAAAGCTTTCTCAGTTGTACTACTATTTTTCTTTATAATATTCCATAATAAATGCTTCCCAAGTATGCTAACGGGTCAATATGCAAAGTTAATTCTGTATTTCCCTCAATTACTCTTTTATAGAAAACCTGCAGTGATGTACGGATATCCCTGTGTTGATCATTTCCTTCCCCATTTATTTCCTTTTCATAAGGTACCCAGTTTGTCATTGGGCCCAGTTTGACCCATACCCTTCATATTTCTAATGGTTCATACTAACACATGAGCTGCATACATTTTTTCCTTCAAAAAGCAATTTATTATTGATTTGACTTGCTAAAAGTTTTCCAGGGAGTTTTGTCTGTTTCATAAAGGATATTGGTCTCTAGTTTTCCTTTTGGTTGTGTCTGGTTTGGGTATCATGGTAGCACTGGCCTCGTAAAACATGTTGCAATGTGTATCCCCTCTATTGTCTGGAAAATTTATATATAATTGGTATTACTTATTCCTTAAAGATTTGTTAGAATTCACAAGCAGAGCTACCTTAACCTGGTTCTTCACTGTGGGAATGAATGATTAAACTGTGACTTCAAGTTTTGACTAGATAATACAGAAATTTTGGTCATGTGTTTTTTCTCTAGAAGGAAATTGGTATTTTGTGTCTTTCAAGGAACCGATTATTTTAGGTTACCAACTTTGTTGGTAAAATGTTGTTCCTGATATTTCCATATTATCTCTTAGGTCTGTAGAATCTGAAAGGATATGCTCTTCTATCTGATAATAGACACCTTCTTGCACATGTGTGCTCACATGCTTGACCTCGCTCACTCTCACATCCTCTTGTCTCCCCCAATTGAATGACAATTTAGAAGTAAAGAAGACACGATAGAAAATAATATTTTTATAATCAACATTCATTTATTGAGAAAAGTATCATAAATAAATGCTAAAACAAATGGATGAAACTTTAAGGAACAAAGTAACAGTCTCAGAATGCCGTCCCCCAAGAAATGCTTACAAATTAAAAAAGGAAAAACAGAAATGGCTGGTAGATACCACCTTAGCTTGTGACTAAAGTTGTCATTAACAGGATTAACATAGGATATATGCCTCCTGACAAGATGCACTGAAATTGACATAATACCACTTCTGTGATTTTTTTTTTTTTACCAAATGTAAATCCTTTGAATCTGTTCATGAGAAGATATTAAACATGATTATGGGACACTCCACAAAATAAATGTATGTCTCTTCAAAAGTCAAACCTCCCACAAAATAAAGACTGAAACCATTCTAGACTAAAGGAGGCTAAATGGGGATGATGAAAAGTTTATTATAGATCTGAAACACAACACATTATATTTTTCGCTCTAATTACACATTGCTGGAATGAGTTATGTTTAATGCTAGTAAGGTCCATAACTTAAATAGTGTATCAATGTTTACTTCCTGATTCTGGTCATGGCATTGTGGTAATGGGAAAGAATTACTTTTTTTGTTAGGAAACATTCATAATTTACAAGGCTAAGATGTCAAATCTGCAACATATTCTTTGGTTCAGAGAAAAATACTTCAATTATATATGGATTTTTTTTTAAGTGTAGGGAAAAAATCTGAACAGATGGGGCCTGTAGTTGAAAATTATACATAAAGTTTCAAGAAAAGATTATAAAGTTAAGTTTGAAATTACTTTGGAAATGTATAAATTTCTAATATTTGATAGTGGTAGATCTCACAAGAAATTATGCTGTTTTCCTCATTTTTCTTTTTCTATATCTTCTTCTCCTCCCTAGACCCCAGCTTTATTGGAATATAATTGACATATTTTGTAAGTTTACAATCTACAAAGGGTTGATTTCATAGATGTATATATATTGCAAGATGATTACCACCATACTATTAGCTAACACCTCCATCTCCTTACCTTGTCATTTCTTTTGTGTAGTGAGAAAATTTAAGATCATCTCTCAGCAACATTCAAGTATATAATGTATTATTAACAATAATCATTATACTATATATTTGTTCCTCAAATATGATTTATAAGTGGACGTTTCTACACTTTGACATCTCCTTACCCAAATTTGCTGTCCACTGTCACTGTGTTAGAGTTTAATTTTATATTCTACATATAAATGATATTATATAGCATTTGTTTTTCTTTGACTTATTTCAACCAGCATAATGCCTTCAAGGCCCATCTATGTTGTCTAAGTAGCAAATTTTCATCCTTTCTTATAACTGAAAAATTTCCATAGTGTGTATTTGTGTGCACACACACACACTCATTTTTATCCTTTCATCTATTGAAAAACACCGAGGTTGCTTCCATATAACGGTTACTATGGATAATGCTACAATGAACACAAGAATGAGATACCCGTTCAAGATACTGATTTTTTTTTCCTTTGAGTATATACCCAGTTGCTAGATTACCCCAGTTTTTCTTTGCATAAACAAATATTTAAAAAAAAATCTTTAAAAAAAAAAAACTGGCTATTCACCCCACTCCTCTTTTGCTGCCAAGAGAATCTTTTTGGTTGTCAATTTCCTCCTCTGTAGTGAACAATGCCAGCTTGAGGAATCTGATGACAGAGGCAAAATAAGTTCTCTTCCTTCTCTTGTTGGGATATCATTATTCATATTTGTTTTTCATGGTGTTGCTAAAATTTCCTAATTGGACTCTAGAAGTCTTCTGAAGCTGTTCTTGTTCAGTTAGCTGTGCAGTCATTGATCTTTGTGGGAGGATGGAGAAGCTGGGTTCCTATGCATCTCCATTTTTTTCTATAACCAGCTTCATTTGTGTTTTGGTTAAAGTATTGTATTACCTGTAGCAAAATAAAAAGAAACATAATTGTTGGCTATTTCATGGAAGTTTTGCATATTATATTTTAATGAGTATTTATTTCCCTATGAGGTATGCGCTATACAATTTATTTTAGTATTACATTTATAGTGAAGATAATTACTATGAATTAAAAGTAGAACCACTTTGATATGACTTCATTGCAGCCTTAGATCTAGGTTACTATTGTGGTATAAGTTTCCCTGTACAGTTAATGCACAATGTAGGTATAATTCAGTCATGTAGAGCCGAGCACCAGTATTTCTGTATGTTCTCACTTACTTCACTGAATTGGAGTCCCATGGATAAATTAGTTAGATGAGCATGATACTTTCCCAGAAAGGCAGGCTTTCCTGGTATACACTATTATCCAAGTTCACATAAGTTTGGAGAACGAGGTGGATATCGAAAAGTCATAAATGTACGCTAACAAACTTGAGAAAATATATCATTTCAGACATTAAGGAAATGATGAACAAAAATGTAATTTGGTAGAATGTTGTGCTAACATTTTTATAAAACTTTTAATCAGATTGAATTTGTTAAGAATAACTGAATAAATCTTGGGCTGCTTGAATCTGGACCTCTGGGTTGGGTCAGTATTTAGATTCCTTAGAGAAATATAGTTAACTCTCTAAACACAATATATTCTTTAATTTAAATTTATCTGTCTTTTAAAATTTTGAGACCACATAGCTCTGCATAAAATTTTATAACCAAAAGTCAGAGAAAATTTTTGTATTCATGATACTTACTGAAAACTTACTAAAAATGCAATCCATTATCTTGATATTAAGGAATATTGCAAATCAGATGCTTCATTGTAGCTGTCAAATTTCCTTTAATTAGATGTTACAGAAGATTTACATTATGGAGTTTTAAATAAAAATGAACTCTAACATTCTGAACCATGATTTCTGAAAAGTTTATAAATGATTGAAAAGAACATATTCCTTTAAAAAAAAAAAGCCTAGAAAATAAAAAAGACAATGGAAAAATAAATGAATTAAAGAAATGTCATAAACTGAATATGAATTATAGAGCTAACATTTTTTCAATTATATTGAAATTCTCTAAAATATCAACACAATGCTCTTGTGAGAAATCAGATTGAATTTTCAGTAAGTGGAAAGATTTTGCTGCAATGTCGAGAGAGAACTGAAATACTTCAACTCCAAATTTTGAAAAAATAAAAAAATCCTGTTAGTGTAGCAATAGTTTATGGAGACTCACAATCCTTTTTTACTCAAGTCTCCATTTTTTTTTAATTAATAAATTTTATTTTTATATTCCCCATACAATTGCAATCCCCCCATTCTGACCCCAATCCCTCCCCTCCCGCCCCCCAACCCCCAAAAAGTGTCTCTGGTTCATAGTTTTTGTTGATTTTGATTGTCACTTTCTTATAGTTAATCATTTTCCTGGTCCCTTATTTAAGTTTTCTAGATTCCTGCTATGAGTGAGACCATCTGGTATTTTTCTTTTTCTTTTTGGCTTATTTCACTGAGCATGATCCCTTCCAGCGCCATCCATGTTGCTGCAAATTGCATGTGTTTATCTTTTTTGAATGCTGAGTAATATTCCATGGTATATATGTACCACATCTTCTTGATCCAGTCATCTATTTTTGGGCATTTGGGCTGTTTCCAAAGCTTAGCTATTGTAAACAGTGCTGCTATAAACATAGGGGTGCAGGTGCTCTTTGGAATTGATGTTTCTGTGTCCTTTGGGTAAATACCTAGGAGTGGAATTGCTGGATCCTGTGGAAGCTCTATGTTTAGTAGGTCCAGAAATCTCCACACAGCTCTCCATAGTGGTTGGACCAGTTTGCACTCCCACCAACAGTGCAGAAGAGTTCCTTTTCAAGTCTCCATTTTTTCTACAAGCAACTTCATGTTAAAATATAATATTGGTGAATTAAGATTATTTTAAGAATATTTTTCCAAGAAGAGTTTGAATCCCTACTAATACCTACAAACAACAGAATTTAGTTATTAATTAAGTAAAGAACTTGATAAAGTTTCAAAAGACATGGAATAAAGATAGTAGTAGATAAGGAAACTAAAAAATGAATGGGCTTGAAGATAACTGGTGAAAACACAAGACAAGAGCACAGTATTCTATGGATGCTATTTATCTACAATAGATATGACAGAATTCAGGGTTTATATACAGTCTGTAATTTATAAGTGTTAATGGATGAGGCTCTAGAAATATTTTAAAATCTTATGAAAATAAACAACCTACACACATCAATATAATGTAGAGGCCTGAGAAAGCAGAAATTCATTGAAAGTTCACACATTAATCCTTAGATCACTGATGAATGATTATACTAACTGCGTGATGATTCAAACCTCTTGGGTTTTTAGATGTAAAAGTTTTTCATCATTTGTCACAAATTAAGCAAAATATAAATTAACATATCTTCCATCATATATATGTGTATATATATATATATATATGCACACACACTTATATATAGATCTGAATCCAGAAAAATTTACCCAATTAGTTTTTCCTTCAGAAATCATGGTATCTTTTACATAGATTTTATATTTAAAGATCCTATATAATTTTGAAAATCTTTAGCTATCCAGTTGTGAAAATGAGGCACGTAAACACTGTTGCTCTCTTCTTTTACTAGATAAAATCTAAAACTAAAATATCTGTCCTTGATGCCGCTGGCAATAATTCAAATAATTCTTACAGGTGGCTATCACTACAGGCCTTGCAGACAAATATTTTAATTGGCACAGAAAGCAGACTGGTCTAGACTGTATTCTGCTTTTATTAGCCATTAGTTACTTTTAGCTTTTTCTTTGCTTAAGATTGAGACATAATTAACACACATTGTGTATAACTTTAAGACAAACACCATGATGATACATTTATGTGTTGTGATATGATTGCTACTTAGTGTTAACTATGTGAAATAGAGGTGTTGGCTATTGTTATTTTTGTGGTAGAGACAATGAAGAGATGATGTGTCAGCGACTTTGAAGCTGCTAATATGGTGTTGTCTATGATCACTAAGCTGTGCATAAGTATATGTATGATGTGCAGATATCTTCTCCCTTTCAATCCCTAGCCCTCCAGTACTGACTTATCTTCTGGATGCAGAACCTTTTCCTTAGGAACTCTGATCAATCTAGTATTTGTTTTATTGATGGTTGGGTAATCACTTGGACTTTCTTTACTCTTTATTCCTATTCACTTTTTTCTCCTCTAACTAGGTTATTTCAACATTCCTATCCTCTTGTTTACTTCTTGTATCTTCCATTTGCTCTACTCTACTGAAGATGTTCTTTTTGAAATTTTTTTTCATTTTGTTGTGTTTAGTTCTAAATTTCCCTTTGCTTTTTGCTAAATACCTCATTTTGAACTTGTTTTTCTTAATTGCTCTGAATTTTGTTTCAGAGTTGTCTCAGTTTGAGTTTCTTCAAAACTATTTTGAACTCATCAGACAGATCATAAAATTCCAAATCTTTGCACTTAATTGAAAAATGATTTTTTTTCAATGATCTCTGCACCCACTATTGGACATGTGAGTGCATGACATTTCTTCCAGATCTCAGCATATGTTGTTAAATCCCATAACTGCCACAAGACCCTCATGTTAATGTCATCTCCTGTAATTATTACCTTTAATTACAAATTTTACTATAACTTCTATTACTGAAATATATAGTTTGATTTTACTTATGTTTCTGATGCCTTGCTAATAGATAAAAACACATTTTACTGATAACTTCTCTCCAATTCTCCAATTCTCTCCAATCCTCAGCTATTTTTTCCTGTATACATGCCTTACATTTATTCTGTAATTCCTACAAAAGATTTTCTTTGAATTGCTTTTCTCCTCTAATGAGATCTTCCTGGGGTCTGAATTATCCACTTAGCTAACATTTACTATGTTTGTTAAGATTATGGTGAGAATTTAAAAAGTCTTTACTGTATTCTGTGTATTAAACAAGTCCTTTACTTTGAGCCTGTTTTTAAATTCTCACAACAAAAAGATATTATCCCCATTATGCAGATAAGTTGAAATTGAGAGGGAATTGATTTGCCTAAGGGGACATAGCTAGCTTTTATTGCAATTCAATGACAACTTCATAAACAAGGCTGTTAAGTACAGTAATATTTCATTTATGCCTGTCTTGGCACCTTTACCCTAAATGTGTAGAACAGAAAGAAAAGTTGGTACAAATTTTTTCTTGTTCTAGGATTTGTTCATTTTGAGGTAACATTGCAAACCAATGTTTGTGATTTAGCTGTATAGGTTCTCTACCGCCAGGTGTTATTACCAGACCACACCCACCATCAGAAAACCCGTAGTCTACTGTAGTCCCTCACCTACCCTGGGGGTAGGTAGGTTTTTACAGTCAGATTTCTAGAGTTTGTTATAGGTTTGGCTTTATCTAACACCATCCAGTTCCATGCATATTATTGCAAATGGCAAGAGTTTTTTTTTTTTTTTTTTGATAGCTAAGTATTCCATTTTGTAAATATAACACATTTTTAATCCACTCATATGTCCTTGGGCACTTAGGTTGTTTCTATAGTTTGTCTATTGTAAATAGTGCTTAAATGAACAGGCATGCATATTTCCCTTCAAATTGGTGTTTTTATACTCTTCAGGTAGATACCTAAGAGAGGAATTGCTGTGTTATATGGTAGATCTGTTTTCAATATTTTGAACAACTTCCTTACTGTTTTCCTTGGGGCCGGACCAATCTACATGCCCACCAATCGTGTATGAGTGCCAGTGTGAACCATGTTTTCTGCCTGGCAAGTTCCTCTCACAACACACATTTTGTAGTTTTGAGTTGAATTTCCTTAGCATCTTTTTTGTTGTATATGATCAGTGTCAGTCTCCAATGTCCAGGAGGTACTTTAGTTTCACCCCAAGTCACAGTATCTTCTGAGTCCAGCGCCTTTCTGGCTACTTCAGACTATTCCCCCAGGAGTAAATAGTGTACCTCCTCTGAGACTGTCCTCCCCTCTTCCAGAAGCTACAAACTTAATAAGAAATGAAACATGTCAATGAATAAGCTCACTCTGCTACAGAAATGAAAGTTAACATTTACGCCTATGTACACTCTGAGGAAACTTGCAAAAGGTAGCATGATGGTGTACAAACTGAAGCATTTAGAATCACTTGGTGAACAGGCAGGTGGGAAATTTAAAAGAGCAAGCTAGGGATATGGACCTATTTGTAGGATTAGCCTTTTATTATAGAAAATAGGGTTGGAATTGGAGAATCATCCAAAGTTCAGTGACAAAAGTGATGACATTTTCTGATTTGGTCAAGACAAAAGCTAAGATCCAAAGCAAAATCTAAACTATGGGCAATGGAACTTAAAAATTGGGTCATAGGGAAAAACAAGTCAGATGTGAAAAGCTTATCAATGCAATATCCTACTTAATATTGGAGAATGTTCAATGATTCATCACCCTGGAAGATAGAGCTTCAGAAAGTGTTAAAGCTGCAAACAAAACTAAAATTCTAGGAAGTCTTCAGTCACAAGTAGACAACTGTAGTATCAGAGTCACTGAGGCAGAAACTGAGGCTGAGACATGTCTGAATCTCAGGGCCATGAGCATGGATAAGGGATATCTGGCAGGAGAGGCATTCTCTACTCACCAGCTTGTAGAACAGGGGCACTTTTGATGGACTCCTTGATTAAAACAGTGATTCGTCAGGCTGAGTCATATCTATCGGGGCTAAATGGATGTGGAGAAAGGCAGAAGTTGGCTTTCTCCAGTGAACAGAGGTTCTTCTGACCTCTAAATCTGGCATTTGCAAGTTCTCTGACTTAGAGATTACTTGTCAGTCATTGATAAATAGCTTTGTCCATCTTGCTTACATAAGCCCTTTAAAGGAAATTTGTATTCATCTATATTTTCTACTAGGTTCTTCTTCCTCTTTCATAACCATAGAAAATAGATTTTTGGCGCATAAATCACTCATAACCTGAAGCATGTCTACAAAGAATATTAAAATACTGTGTATTTTTTAGTAAAGCCCACATGACTTACATCATATGGCTTTATAGCAGATAATTAATGCTATTCTTAGAAATTCATTTCAATGGTTAACATTAAATTTTCCATTTCCAGACCTAGGTTTTTATATTTGTTTGTAAAATGTTTTCTCATGATTCCTGAGACTATTTCCAAGCTCACTTCATAAGAATCAAGGAAAAACACTCAAGGGGTATTTTTAATATAAAACATTGATAAACAGGTACCTAGATTATTAAAGTCAGTACAAGTATTTAATTTGTGAACATACACTGGAGAAACAGATGGATTAGATGCTATAACTACTATCAAGAATTTCACAATCTGTCCTGGGTGAAAGGAAAGACATTCACAAATAACTATGATAAATGCCACAAAACAACTATAAACATTTCCTGTAGGAGCAAAAAGGAATAAGTGATTGAGGTTATGGATATTAAAAAAGAAGAAACCTTGCAGAGGATATGAAACTGGAGTTATGTTTTAAAGGGTAGTTATATAAAGAAGGCTAAGAAGGAAAATAAAAAGAGAAAAGGTTATTTTTAGCAGAGAAGGGAAAAAAATCCAAGACCTACAATTGCATGCTTCATTTAAGAGACAGAGAAAAGTCTTCTATGTCTAGAGGAGTAAGGAGAATGGGGAAGTTGGTGGAGAGAGCAGATTCTAATTATGAAAGGCATAGCCCGCCATGTTGAAATTAAATTTTAATCCCTAGGAAAAAGAACCTATATCAAATGGACTCATATAACAGAGACCCAATTAAGAAAATATCAATATCATTTTTATGAATTCTGAAAACTCATTGCTAAGATTTTGGAAAGTTTATTGAATAAAGAAGCATCATATGGTGGTAAAACATGTTCTCTGTCTTTCAAAAGAGATCTATAAAGAGGTACTATTGATCTAGACAAGGATGGTAGTTTTAAAAAAAATCAGTAGGAATATAGAGAAAGAACCCTGGAAATGTGAGTGTAGACCTGAGGCTGCTAGCAGGGTATGGGTGCCCAATGGACTATGGTGCTTTGGGGGTAACATCTATCTGAAGAGGTGTATACCTCTGCATCACATGCAGTGTTTAAAACAAATATTACTACAATAAAAATAAAAATTTGCATAGAAAGAGCACAAAGATAAACTTTTTAATGCAAGTAAGTGGCTAGACATAGTTGCATATTGCCAAGACAGTACTAAACTTCTGATGTCAGAGGAAGCCTGTATGTTTGATAGCTTTAGAAAATGATGACGAGAATAAGAGAAAGTGGGAGTAAAAAAAGGCCAGAGCTAGACAGATACCTACTCTGAATTTCCCAGGGGCCCTGGTATCTAAACAGACCATATAGTTGAACTTTATGCAAAGGAATATAAGCAGAGTGATTTTTGTTACTTCTAGATCTAGTTAAACCATCCTCCTGTGCCTATTGTTCTTTTTCCTTCTGCTACTGAATTAAAGTGACTGTGCTATCCTAGAACAAGGAAGTGAAGCCTCTGTTCATGAATGACACATCTGAGAACCAAACTGCTCTTGCTTTTGAAACATTGGGGTCTTTTTGATTCTGAGGCTTAGCCCAAATGAATACAGATGTATTAAATTTAAAATTTCTATAACACACTGTTTGACAAGATAGTGTCCCAAGATGGCATAGAGGGGAAGCAGCCAACTTAGAACGAGAAGCCTGAGACGCTGAGAATGGGAGTTTGATGAGACAGAAAATTATTAGGAAAGGCATTTCTGAGAATAGAAACTATGACATAGAAGGATGGATACTCTGAGTTTGGTTTATTGCCATTACCATTTATATTCTTGAAAATATTCTGATTAAAGATTCTTTGTTATAAGGTAGAAAAGCTTCTCTTGCCCATACTTAGTTTTACCATACCCCTAAGTATTCTTTAAGAAAGCTTTAATTTAGCCACCCACCCTTCCTACCCTAAGTGGCAATCTAAGTAAAAGATCTCTAGACACACCAAAAAAAAAAAAAAAAAATTCTCACCACTCCATTAAGGGAACTGCAGCGACTGTCAACAGAGGAAAGGAGAGGTAAAAGTATTTTGAACAACTATGATGCCAAAGTATGTAAGGATTTTTCCCCCAAAGAAAGAAAAGCACTTTTAGTAACTCTGAGAATTATAGTAAAGACCAAACTCACTTTCTGTTACCTTATTTCGCGTTCTTTGGATTTCAAACATTTTAAAATCAACTTATTAATTTTCAAAGAAAGGAAAACAGGTAGACATGTTACTGGGACTGTTTATTAAAAATACCAATTTATATAGGACTGATTTTTACAATATTGAATTGTTCAATCAGTAAACATAATTTCCCTATGTTTAGACCTACCTTAAGTGTTTTTGTTGATACGATGCCATTGTTTTTTGTATTGATTGGCAGTTTTGTAGTGGTTTACTGAAAAATCTGGTAGAGATAGATACAACAGTATCATAATAGATTTCTTCCTGGAAGTTGCTGGATTTTATGTATCAATCTATCTTAGCAAGTCTAAGTGTTTAGTCATTCTTTGGGCTTTGTCTAACAGTCATCTATTAATAATAGCACACCTAGATTTTTCATTATAATTTTAATGTATTTTGTTTTTCATGTCTTATAACACTACTTTAGATATTTGGTGTTTAAGCTAACCACCCTTGTTTAATTCCCAATCTTGAGTGGAAAGCTTTTAGTAGCTTAACATTAAGTAAATTACCTTATATTTCTAGTTTATTGTGTTTTAATGAGCATGAACATGATCAAATACTGTTAACACACGTAACCATATCATATCTTTTTTACTTACTATGTCAATTTGCTTAGTAAATGTGTGCCTTTCCTTTAATTAAAGTAGTGTTTTTCCAGACCATGAGATGTTATACATGTATAAAATTAGAATTAAAACCCTCTTAAATGTTTCACATGTAAGATTTTAATCCATCTACTTAAAATTATATATAAAGTAACAATACACATCTGTATTGGCTTCAAAATCACAAAGGAAACATTTTAAGTTTTAGAAATTTACAAATGCTTTCTTCTAAGTATGAGCTTCTCTAACACATCTTCAAAATACTAACTCTACAGATTCACCATCCAAATATAGTATATTTTCTATAGGTGGCTAGTTTGGATAAATAAGCATCTTATAAACTGCAAATAAGTGTAAATTGGTAGAATTTTTCTATTTGTCCTCCATAATAAGGCCAACTTTGGCCTAATCAAAGAAATTTGAAGATAATTTCCTTTGAACGAGAATTGAATATTGGTGAGCTATAATAAATTACACCACAATTTGTCTTTCAAATTAGGAACTCAAAGACCTTGATCTTAGTCATTTCAAGATCTCATCCTGTGCAAACACCCTCTGCCAGACCAATCAGATACACAATGAAACAGGAATAGCATAACTGCTATTGAGAAACATGGAGAAACATAACAAGTACTTACATTTAACTGTGTCTATTCATGCTGCCCCTATATGGTCATGAGCTTCTAACCGACCCTTGATAGGGTTCTGAGTTGTCTTCCGAGGAATTTTCTTCCCAGTCCACTGTTCTCCACGGCCCTTGAATCCACTCTCTGTGAAGTAATGCATTTCCATTATCCTCTAGGCTATAACTGAAGAAGACATGTGACGATAATACTTTTTAAGTGGTGAAAAGATTTCAGCCCAAATAGTCTATTTTAGCCCAGGCTAATGTTTCCTTCAGTAGTATAACTCTCTACTATTGGTCACATTTAATTTTAGTCAGCATTATGTGCAAACAGCCACACTCAACAATTCTTCTGAAGACATGCCTCTATACTGCTTCATTGCAAATACCATGAGCTGTCAGATTTTTCTTTTCTTTTTAAAGAAATCACATTCTTAGTATTTTTTCCACTAAAATGTCTTTCCAACTATAAGAAAGGACTGCCTGCCACTTAACCTGTTCAGATATTGATATTTTAGCAGTTATTCTACCATCCTTATGTTTTAAGTGATCGATGATAATTTCAGTCAGCCTTTTTTTCTTAATTTACCTTTTACTGTTGGAGATCAAAACACAATTTCCTCTTATAAGCCTTAAGTTTTAACTTTCAGGACTGTCTCTTCCTTTTCATTTCCCCTTTCAAGCAGGCAATTTCTAAACTGGGCTTAGTAATTCCTTTTCAAGTATAGTCAATAGTACACAATCCACACTACTGGTATTCTGTTTTCTGTCCTTTCCACCAACCAATAAAAGATAGTATTGACTTACAAGTTATTTCAGGAGACAGTTCTGTCACTGTTTCTACAAATCACAACGTAGGCCTCCATTCTTTACAATACTTTTCATGTCATTCATTCCTTAACCAGGATGCCAGTGACACATAAGTTCTATGCTACAGCACCAAACTATTTCTGATACCATTTTTCATATTACTTATGATCATCTATGTAATGTGACAAATAGAAAATATTATTTGAGGATTTTACCATTAAAAATATATTCTTCATTCACACAAGATATTAAGCATGGTTCCTAATTATTGTCCTACTTCTAGATCTCAGGCTGAAAAGGAAGATATATCTAGGAGTGTACCAGTTCATTGTCTAGTTTTGCAGGAGAAGGAAGAGAGGGAGAAAAGAGAAAGCAAAATATCCACTTTCCCTTAATGTCACTCATTTTCCGTTCGTCAGAACAAGATACAAGACTAGGTCTTCAAGTGTCAATGAAATATCTCCAGGGAAGGAAAATATGCATTACCTACAGTATCTATCAAACAAGTATCCTTTAAAAAGAATAAAAATGTATTTATTTATAAATATATCTAGGACTAGTGTTATTTGAAAGAAATTCAAGTTTTGAATACTATGGATAATATGCTATATTTTACACAAAAAGGAGGGAATATTCTCATTTTCTTTTATAAACTCAAAAGAACTCATGAAACCATCTAGATGAAGGAAAGTAGTTTACTCTGTAAAACTATTTCCATATAAGTGTATTTCCTAGTCAAGAAGTTGTATTTGAAAACAGAACTATATTTTTAAGGGTCAAACTTTTTTGTCTGGAAATCTAGAACTATTTACTGGTTAACACATCACTAACAACCACAGCATCACAGAAATATCAGCTCATTTAGAACACCTGGCTTGGTAAAAGAAAATGTTTAACTCTGCCAATTCTTTTTATGTAGCATTATAAAGATTTCACTACTAAAGATTTTGTTTTTATGAAACTAATTACACTGATGATACCTTGTGGTAATTTTGTTCACTTTGGGTTTCTGTGCCTTTGTTTCTGAAGTGGCTCTTTGAATGATGTAGAAATGAATTTCAGGTGTATAGTTATAGCTGCAAACTTATCCTGAAAATAAAATTTAAATTTCAGATAAAACAACTTCAATACTGATAATTACAACTGTAAAGTGTTAAAAAAAAAAAAAAGATTATTTATGCATATAAGAACTTGGGTACAGGCCAGAGGCCTGGGGTGAGAGGATTCACCAGAGACAGAGTGGAGAGCAGAACAGGCAGATTGACTGAAATACACTGCTGAGGGGAGCAGCAGGCAAGACAGGAGAGGTCTGCTGCGCCATGTGGGTTAGCTCCCTGGCCGGGGATCAAACTCATGCTGCAGCAGCTACAGATTGCTTCATAGGTTGTGTCTTAATCACATGCGCCACCAGGGAGGCCCTACAATTGTAAAGGTTTACCTTAAAATATTTCTAATGAAAGGGAACATTTATTGTCAATACCATACTTTTTCTGGTAATTTTATTTTAGTATCCTATGAAAAATAATTGTTATAAATTGCATTACCAAAATAGTCTATGTCAAACTATATTCTGAAACTGATTTTCAAAATCTGTGTTTTTCAATCATATAACAAAACTCCAAAACTGAGAAAACTTTTAATATGTAGTTTTCAATATATTAATGCAGGTGTTAAACATACTTAACATAGTTCTTTAAATTTCACACAAATGTTTTCCAATACTAGATCCTGACGAAGGTATGCAATTATTAATTAGGAACACGGTATTTAATAAATATTTTCAGGAATGTTTTTCATCTGGAAAAATATTCCTCCATTGGTATGTTTTAATGTTTGCTCCTAAGGAAGTTCTAAATACAATGTTGCTAAACTTTTATTAAATTTAGAGAAAATATTCAAAGGCACACAGTTTGAAATTAATAAAGCTCTAAATTTCACTAGTCTTGATGACTTCATACTGTTATTATTCAGCATTGTACACAAGTTTCATCACTAATCCCAGACTACTAAAGAATCTTGATAAATTGAAAGTTTTAAACATACTTCTTGACCTTAAAGCTTGAACTTTAAAGGTTATTATATAGCCAAGAAATAACACTATTCTAAAACTAGGAGAATCATCTCTGTCAGGTTTTTATTGTTCACTAGTGTTTACATTATTAATATTATCCATAATTAGGGTGAATTGACTTATATTCAAATGACTAGATGACAGAAATTATACCAAAGTGCAATCAAAGCTCTCTTTCTGTATAAGAGAACCAATTTTTCCATACAATAGTTCAGGAGCTTCATTAGGCATGAGCCTGTCTGATCTATGGACCAACGGACAGTACCACTGATGAAATATAAAAACTTAATTTCTTTTATGTGCATTATTTAAAAACTAAAAAATGTGCTTTTCTCTCCAATGCCCCCAGTTTATACACCCCATTTGAAAACCATAACTCTAATATCAGGTCTGTAGGAATGCAGACTATTCTACTAGGTCAGTTCTCTAAGAAACTGAATTTACTACAGGTTACATAATTGTTAAAAGTATTTGCATAACCTACTTCTCCAAGAAATTGGCCAATATTTCAAAACTCCATTCATTTATATATTTATTCCAACAGCCAACATTTAAACACTTAGAACAAAAGCAAATTTCATGAAGTGTCTGAAACAAAACATTTTCATATAAATCAGAAGACCTATAAACCATATCTGAGATTTCACTATGAGTAAACTTCCTATATAGTGAAATAACGTGTCAACTATTTTTTCTTTAACACTAACACCACCAAATTATTTAGAACTGCTTGTATTGAACTTTATAAAAATGGAATCACAGTGATCTTTTAGAAGTTTATTTTTCTATTCAGTGTTACATAAAAACACGTATGAACTTTTATAAATATATATTGCTTTAGTTCATATATTTTAATTGCTTTAAGTTAAACAAGTCAGTGTATGTGCTATAGTTAATTTATTGACATTATTTTTTTAAGATTTATTTATTTATGCACACAAGAACTGGAGTATAAGCCAGAGGTGCAAGGGAGGAGAGTAAGAGGATTCACCAGAGAGAGTGGGAAGCAAAACAGGCAGATCTACTGAAATACACTGCTGAGGGGAACAGCTGGCGAGACAGGAGAGGCCTTCTATGCCATGTGGGTTGCTCCCTGGCTGGCTGGGGATCCATCTTGTGCTACAGTGGCTGGAGATAGCTTGATAGTGCTGTCTTTAAATCCTCTGCCACCAGGGAGGCCCTATCAACATTATTTTTGATAGCCATTTATTTTCTCAAGTTATTTTTTTTTCCAGTTACTATACTGCTAGAAACATTTTCCATAGTACAGATTTTTCTCTATAGGAAGTTGCTATATATATATATATATATATATATATATATATATATATATATATATACATATATATACACACACACACATATTCAAGTTTACTTTGTCAGAGTTGAAGTTTTTTATAATGCCAAAATGCTTGACATTTTCACTCTAATTTTTGATAATCTAGAGGGTTTGGGCCTCCCCCACCTCTGGCCTACACCCCAGTACTTGTATGCATAAATAAATCTTTAAAAAAATAATCTAGAGGTTTTGATATGGAATCTCAAAGTAATGTTAGCTGACAAGCTTTTTATATGCTAAAAAATGTTAAGTCAGTATTTAGTACTAGAAAAATCTGTGGTATTGTCAGAATATTGCATTTGAAAAGCAAGTTTTCCAAATAAATGTTTTTCTATTTTTTTTTTTTGATAGGAAAAATACACATTATTCTTAACATGGCTCACAATTCAATGATGCTGTAAAGGGATCCTGGGATTCAGTAGATAATTTATCATTGTACTACATGGTCTCAGCTTACCTTAAGTTGTTTTGCCTCTTTCTCTTATGGCATTTGGTCAGTTTTATCACCCTTATTGTATCACTGCACTTGCCATTATGCTGGCACCTTCTTAGTGCTGCTTTCCAATTGACAGTGAGCTGGGAAAGGAGATAATCTTGCTACCTTAAAATACAGATGATTGATAGGGTGGAGACGTATGGCTCTGAATTAGCAGGCCTCCTTCTTTCTAATAAAATTTCTTCCTTTTTGTTCATTGCATTGTCAGTTACATCATGTTGAATTTATCAGACAAACTCTATGATGTTTCCTTATTTCACAGTGTAAAGATATATTGTAGGGATTTGGAGTTCAACTCTGATAACTACCTAAATATTAATGTATTTTTATAATGTTTTCAAGTCTGGTACAATGGAATTCTATGAATATTATTTTGTAAGCCACTTACTTTCACATTCTTGCTACGTTATGAATAATTTTCTTTTATGCCTTGTTTATTAATCCAAATAGTAAGGACAAGTACTTAAACTGAAAATAATTTTGTTAAATCTATTCTGTATATTTTGTTTCACCTATCTTCCTTATGTATCAGATACATAAAAGAAATTTAAGATTGAATCCAACTGGCATTTTTTGCATCTTTTGCAAATGACTAGCAGAGAACTGACTGCACTCTAATTATATGGACTTTTATGTTCATTGCATAGAGCCTTGTAACCACAGCAAAGTTCATGGAATGTACTAACAAATACCTACTTAGTAATTGGTCTCATAGCCAAATATGTTCATATCTAATTTCCCCCTGCCTAAATACATTATTAAATGTGCATATTTTAAACATTTTTCAGAATTCTCATACACTTTCAGATATCCAAAAGCAGTGCTTTACTACATTATTTCATTTGTGAATTTGCATAAAAATTTCGAATTCTACGGCACTTTAATTCTCATACTCACCTTATGAATATTAAAAGCAAATTTTTTGACTCACATTAAGACTCACAGCCGAAAATAAGTTACGTTTATTGTGTCACATTCTCATTTGGATTATAATAATCCTCAGTCAAATTATAAATGATTTCCCCTTAAGAATGAACATAAACTTCATAAGGGATTACGAAACATGGAAACTAAGTAAAGCTTTCCTTGTTGAGATGTTTCCTTAAGCATGATGAGTAATATATAATGCATCTTAAATTAGAGAAATTTAAAAGCATATTAATGGAATAATTTCTCTCCCCAAATCTTTCAGTTTTGGAGAATGGAAGAATGACATCATATACTTAGTAGTAAATTGAGGGAATTTTTAATATATCGAATATTTATAGAAAAGTATTTTTTATATAGGCATTTCTTTGCACACAAAGCTGTGACAGCTCCTGAAATACGTAATTTTAAAATTGAAAAATAGGAACAAAGTGATTACTTACTTTGTATTAAAAAGTAAAAGCTCTGGTTGAACCCAAAAAGTTGTCTTTTCTCATATGCTTCTTGGGCATATTATTGTAATTTGAAAGAGGTTCTAAAATAGAGGCAATAAAACTGTTTCTGCTTACATGCTGTGAAATTCTCCCCTCAAGGTTTTAAATTGAACTTGCTCAACAGGCAGAGAGAACCGCCTTCTTTCTTCAAAGACATAAGAGGACTTGTTCAGTAAGAGGTAAAGGTCTAATGGCATTTTCTGAAAGGAACATATTCAGTGAGCTTGTGACTGCTGCTTCTAAGCACTCCACTCCCATCATCAGAACATGCCAAAGAAGCAAAACTTAGGCATGTGACTAGTAAGAATTTAAAGTACCAGTTAATCTAATGGCCTAAAAGAATCTTACAGATCAGGTGATTTGTAAGTTTCATAGTCTGACAGACTAGAAGAGCCAGTTCTTAGCATATCAATAAATTTTTTGGTCTGCTTCAGGTGAAACTGTTAATTTGTATTTGACTTGAAACCAAGGCTCAAGACTTGTTTAACTTTTTAGTCTGAATTGGGATGAAGCTATTTAAATTATCCCTAGCAAAAATGTATTTTAAGAAGAAATACATATTTTTACATTCTAATCAGGCTTACAAATAATAGGCTTTTTATATATTTGGTAAACACTAAAGTACTGTATCAATTATGACCTTTTCGATGTAAGGCTCATTGAAAGGAAAAGATCAAACTAGTTCAAACTGAGAATGTTTTCATGTGTCTGTACATTAGGGGCTTTGCATCCCTAAAATTTGTATGTTGAA